TGAGCCAGTGATTGTTAAGGAGTATAGGGTTTAGGGCTTGAGCCAACATATAGGGTTTAGGGTTTGAGCCAGTGATTGTTAAGGAGTATAGGGTTGGGTAGGGATTTATGGTTATTACTGTTTGGGTTCTTGTGCTTGCAGAGCCCGATAATAGTCTAACTTCCTAGCTAACCTAATACCGGTATCAGCTACTTAACCAAGAACCCCGAGTCCAAACCATATAAAATCAACCTGGTACTGGTCCACATGGAGGCCTTCAAGCTTGCAAATTGCAAGTTCCACACGATCACAAAAACAAACGGAAATGCAACCACAATGACAGCATCCCCGTTTCAGCCCCAGCAGAGCCGCAGCCCTGCAGCAGAGATCCGGCCATCTATTTTCTGCGATCGGGGAGACTCAGCTGCAAGCTAGCTTGTCCAAAGCTGTTTTATTGATAACACAGAATCTCTTGAGCACATTCAGGGAGGCTTTCCTGTAAGAAACCCGGCGCTTTACGATCAATGTCTGCTTGACAAAGTCTTCGTCTACAAACGTAGCGTTGGAAAATGGATTGCGACATCCCCCAGCGGGCCCGATATCTTCGATGATGTGTAGCAAATGATGCAGTTTTGGACGGCATTTGAAGTAATAGTCCTGGGCCTCCAAGCTTTCAGCAGCCAGTGATATATATGATCGCACAAACAAACGGCCAGTCGCCGCGGCTGTGCTGCACTCCGAGTCAGTCATAAAAAGCGAAGCATGAGTAAGAACCCCAATGAATTGCACAGCAGCCCAAGTGCAAGCAACAAGGCCTTCGTACTTTGCCAGTCGTACCTGTTGCAATTTGTCACATAAGAAGCGCAAGCACAGCATGGTGTCTGCCCCCTTCGCTCGAAGTTCCGGACATTCTCCTGATTTCCAGTTGATCGTATCTTTGTTGATTTTGGTCAAGCTGAGCACTTGACCATGTCTTTTGCACCAGAGTTTGAGGTCTGTCATGAGTTGCACCAGACGTTTTTCAATCCTGGTGCCCGAATAAACATCACGGTTCTTGCATAGAAGCTTGAAGCCAGTTCCACAGAGATCACGGGCCACCCCTAAATGAAATACATGCAGTAAATCCAGAGCGATGAGCTTGTCAGAAAAACCAATCAGCTCAGACATTGCTGGAGCTACGTTCCACATCGGACCAATCCTTTGATGCCTCCATGCCGCACTGTCACTTACATCAGTGTAGCAGCAAGCAAAGTCATGGTTGCCTTTGGTGGCAGCACATCGGAAGCAAATCTGAACAGGGCCAATATGCAGGCACCAGCATGTACAAGTAGCAGGAGCCTTAAAGATAGCCCAAAGGTCCCAAATCTTATGCTCCTATGGCCTAGGTGCATTAGGTTTAAAAGCTCACTGGGCCAAACCTATGGAGGGAGTTGGTTGTAACGGGTTTGCTGGCCTCCTCCCGCGTAGCATGTCGCTGCAAATTCAAGGATTGGACAAGGTATTTCATATCACCTTTGTAGGCCACACAGTGGAAATGGAAAACCTGAGCCATTAACAGCGCAATACCGAACCAACCATCGACCTCCGGTTAGGTTTACTAGGTATGGGTAAAGGTATAGGTCTAGGGTATACGGTATAGGGTAGATGTAGGGTATAAAGGGTATAACAGTATAGGGCATAGGTATAGGTATAGGTACAGCTTACATAGGTATAGGTATATATAGATGTAGATATAGATATAGATAGATGCGGGTACATACGTATATACACACAAACACATAAACTTGTTTGTTTGCATATGTTTATGTTCTTACTGGAGAGCTTATAACATCCTGCAGGAGCCGCATCAAGAAACTTTGTCCCCAATCTGCAATCCAGAGGTGGCCAGTTTGTTCAAATCATCAACCAGTACTTGTAGTATTGCTTGCAATGTGACATTGATGTGATCTGGTTCCTCAAACCAGTAGGCATAGGTTGGAAGCGAATACATGAGATATCTTGAAGCCTTGCTGTTGGTCCGGTATGGCGACAAGTCGAACATCCTTGGCTAGGAAACAGACATACCAAAAAGCACAAGTGGAAATACCTGCAACTAAGACAATCTCGATAAGATCGGGAAAGGTTTATTCCGCTGTTAGACTTCGACTAGCCACAGAGTTCCAAGCATCCATGATGTAGAATTCTTGATGGTTCCCTCATCCCCCCACAAACAGTAAGGAATGGTGGTCTCCCACTTCGATGCCGGAGGTGGCGACTGCAGCTGCCCGGCCATTTTTGCCCAATACTGCTCCAGGTGTTCCAAAGGCCCAAAAGCGGATGAATATCCAGTGGATAGCAGCGTTCTAACCTGGCATTCGGGCTTATTGATGTGGTTTTGCAGTTTCAGCTACTTAAGAATGTCTGCGCATAGGAACTGTTCCAGCACAGAAGCCTAGTAAGTAGGTATAGTACACTCTATCTACATAAATGGTATCTCCATAGGAGCCCCGTAATGCTGGTAGGAGGCAATGGTGCTGGGCAGAATCACAGGCCAGGGCTCGATAGCCATAAAATCAGCTTCCCCAGGTGTCTCTTTCAGCACCGGTATGTTCTTCCACGACACATCGAACTGATGAGCAACACCCAGAGCTCTGATTCTTTGATGGAATTCGTTTTCCCGCAGAGCCCGCGACTCAAAACCAGCCAGGGCATTGCTACCATAGATATCACCTCCGAAGGTTTACACAGGGGCATGACACCTGCAACATACCCTACAGAATAGGCTCGAAACCTTTCTACAATAAGTTTTAGCCATGGCACCAAGCTCACACCCAAGGGTGATGGAGGATTGTCCTTCACAAACAGCTACAGCAAGCCTTAGCTCGTTTCAGCTAGGGTTCATTGGGAGTCGATGAACATGAACTGCTCGAGGAAAAACACTATTTAAGTCGTTATGCATGAACGGAGGAAAACACAACCCCAACCCCAAGTGGCAGGCCACAGCCCCTAGCTAGACATAGGAATCACAACCCATTGCTAACCAGGCTCCGCTTGTCCAACTGCGTGGTCAACCTCCTCGACGACGAAGCTGGCTCCACGTCTGCGCAAGCGAAGTTCATTGTCAAATCGAGGGGTATCATATAGGCTTCGAAGCGGCTGTCTACGCAAGACTCATATATATTTTCCGAGACAGCAGGAATCGCGATTGGTTTCCCCCAAGCTTGGAACACTCTCTGAGCACCAGGGTCTAAGGTGCCCCTTGAGCAAATCTGAAGCACAGCATATTGCCGTGGTAGTGAGCACCATGCAGGGTCTGAGGTGCCCCTTCTTCGCAAAAGCACAGCATGTTCATTGCCGTGGTTAGCTTCTCTCACTGCCTGAGCAGCAGAGAACGGAAGGTACCCAGGCAGATGCACATAGGCCAGGCCACGTACATCACACACTCATTGAATCAAAGATGCAATGAAGTATTTGCATATGAGGACATGCAGCTAGTGTGACATTATCAAAACTAGCATCGGCATGCTAGCTCACATTGTCATGGCCGCTATGTCAATGCACATGCTGCCACATCACCCTTTCTTCTTGAGCTCGGCAATAAGGCCTTTGGCCTTGCCCTTTAAAATCTTCAGCTCGGTGACCTCGGATATGGGGGATCGGTTTAGGGTTTAGGGTTTAGGGATCAATTCAGGGCCAACATAGGATACTTAGCAACAGCTGAGCTGCTTATCTTCGCTTAGGGCTTTTAACCTCCCAGCCTGTCATAGATAATAACCCAAACCCTAGGAGTAAAGTAACCATGTGGGGGTATTGATTATTGGGTTGAACCCGATTGCTCGGATACCATGGAAACAACTGTGTTTTCGGTCGGATTTAAATGCTTGTTGATAACGGTGAAGGGCTGTTTGAGGTTTTCGGTGTTGAGGGTTATTAAGGCTACAGGTTTAGGAAGATTAGGGGTAGATTGAGTGGCGCCATTAAGGTGCACTGGCGTTAGGCATTTCTGCTTAGGGATAACTTGGATTTGTATTCATGTTAGTTCTATTGCAAGCCAGGGGCAGTGTCCCAGATCCTGTGACACAGGGGGTCCATCGCCTCGCTCGTCGTAGCGGTCTTGAACCTCATGACAATGACATCCAAAATTATGATAATGTACGAAAGTAGTAGACTTCTAGACTTGCTGCGGCACAGAGCCGAGATGCTTCCTGGCCAGCTTGGTCAGCTTTGCCTGGCTGTTGCCCAAATCCTCCTTCAGCGGGTCATCGTCCGGCAGATCCAGGAGGATTCCAGAGATGGTCGAAATCTCCTTCTTCATCTCAGCACCTGAAATAATTACACTTATATCTGCCCCATCAGCTTCATCAGCTTTCACTTTCAAGAGAGTGCACAACATGTTGAGCCATTATATGCAAGTAGGTGACTCCAGCGATCATGCTTCTCATCATCCGAACGAAAGGTTTCCTCGTTGAGCGGCAGCTTCTGCCCTGCCCTGCTGCCGGCCGTTCTGTTCGTGCGCCTGGATGCCACACTCCGGGCTCCTCCTCTGCCTGAGAGTTATGGGTTGAGGGCGAAGGATCTGCGGTAGTCTTACATATGAGTATGGAGTTTTGAGCTATCCTGGGTTGGGCTAGGTATCTTCATTTTGTGGGGTTGTCGGGTTTTTGTTGCTGGGTGGAAAGCTTAAAGGTTCGGGTTTAGGGTCGAACATATATGAGCTTTCATTCGATTAGGTGCTTCATGTTCCTGGAGTTTACAATTAGGTGGGTATACACTCTGGGAGTACAAGTATAAGCATTGGGGTTGGGTTTGTAAATGCTTAATATATTGGGCTTTATAAGATTCGGGATTTAAGGTGAATTTTACGTGGGCACAAAGTGGGCGACAGAAGGGTAACACAACATAGGGTTTTACCTCGACCCTCATTTGCACCAATCATCTCACTGGTTGCTACCTTGAAACGAGAAAAAAAACTAGTCCTAGATGAGAGCAAGGCACCGGCAGGGGCTGAGGATTCAACACCTCCTGCCTTCTCGAGGCCTGCCCTGAACCCATCATATGCACGCAAGACGTCTCCTGACAGCGGTGTCGGACCTGCACTGGCCTTGGGGCGTGCAAGGAGGGAAGGATCAACGGGGCCATTCATGATATTGTAGATATCATCCGGGGAGGCCGTGGCATTCACCGTCATGGAATGCTCCTGCCTTGGCTACACGTTGTCAAGACCGGAAAGCCTTGCTCATGATGCTCCAACACATTATATATGCCAGCTAGGTAGCGAGATGTCCAGGGTGTCTGTGCGAGTCTCGGCAGTGGTCACCCAGTACTTTGTCTCTTCCACGATGCCAGGGGCATCCCTGTCCTCAATATGGATAGGAAGCAAAGATCTCCAATAACTATTGATCACACACTGCCATATATGAGCCTGGCAGCTTCGATGCCTTGCTGGTTTGCAATGATATACGAGATTTTGCGTCTTAGCAAGCTGATGTGCAGGCAGAGCCAAGCGGTAACCGAAAGCACACAGTAGTAACGCTACAATTGTTGCCGAGGAACTCACTGAAGTTGAAGGGTGGTTTGCCCATGTCTTTCACGGCAACTAACTGAACCACTCGCTGGCCTTGCAAACTTGACCGGCGCGTGGCCTTGATCAAGCATTCACATGCCTGGACGTTCTCTTTACTCTGCACCCACCGGCGAAGGAGTTCGGCCCGCTCCTCACCAACAGAGATAGAATAACTAGGTGCAGCAGAACATGACAAGATTATGTTAAAGCTTCCACTCCTTCGTAGTCCCATTTGCCAGGGCATGCATACTCGGATAGGTGCTTGCAGTGATCGTGCCATTGTTCATGAGCCGGCCCTTAAAAAAAAAAACGATGCGATCCAGCTGTGCATGGCTACAACCTGTACAGTACATCCTGCAATCCAAGGCACCAGTCTCATGTACTCCTTCTTGTGGGTCTTCGAGTTGACTTCAGGCGGGGAAGCATCCGAAGGGGGAGCATCCGAAGGGGCAGCAGCCGAAGAGGGAGCAGCCGAAGGGGGGGGAGCAGGCAGTGCATGCATGCTGGCAGCAGCAGCGGTAGCAGGGGCAGCATCGTTGTGGGTTGAACGGAGGCGTTGCAGGGCAGCCTCTTTGGAACCGGCCGCCTTCTTCTTGTCTGATTCGGCACTAACCTCTGATTGTGCATTCAGAATCTGCTCGGCATCTGCTTGAGCTTCCTGCTCCTCATCTAAAGCTACACCTTCCAAATCCTCAGCAGGCTTCGCTGCCTGCCGCTTCTCCGCCTGCTGCTTCTGCAGTTGCGCTTGCAACTGCCCGACCATGGCTAGGAGGTGCCCATAATCCTTGTTAGAGCTGACCTGCGAAGCCGATGCCCCCAACCTTGGTTCTAGAAGCCCAAGACTGGTCGATAGGTGTTCAGGTGGTTTCAGTGGGACACCCATTTATAGATGTAAGCAGGTAAGTATGCATCTCACATAGGTTCTTGTAGGAAGACAGGGCAGAGGGTTTTGTGGAGAGTTCAGAGTCATTTCGGAGCCTTGCCCTTGAGGGAACAATCCTATGTTCATGCATGCGTTGTAACTTACATTACAGGGGATGTCGGAGTATCCCTACCCCCCCCCCTCCCCGAAACCTCTGTATACTTCGTACTTAATGCCTAAACCCCAAAGCTGTACTAAACCCCTGCAACTCAAGACTCAAAACCCCACCAAGCCAGACCTTAACACCCATAATTTCTGGTCCCTAAGCATGAGCCATAAGCCCTAAAGCTTCTAAACACAGAAACCTAAAACCATAAGGCTTGGGGTTAAGAGCGTTGGGCTGCCTTCCTGCACAAAACACGCACAAAGCATTGATGAAGCATACCCACTGTTGACCTTCCTGCTTGCAAAACATACACCCTGAGCCAACAAAAGCACAACATCAGCAGCAACGACACCAACCACAACAACAATCACAACCACAACAACAGCGACAACAGCAACCACGATAACAACAACAACAACAAAACCAGCAACACCAGCAACACCACCACCGACACCAATAGCAACAGCCACATCATCAAGAGCAAACCAACACGAATCCCATCATGTCACATCGATCATATAAGTAATGCATGAACATGCACATGCGTGTATGTATGTATGTATGTATGTATGTATGTATGTACGTATGTATGTAAGCATGTGTGTATGCAAGCATGTATGTATGTATATGGATGAATGTATGTATATTCATGTATGTATGTGTTATGTATGTGTGTGTCTGATTTCAATACATGCAACTGATGCACTGACTTGCATGCATTCATTTCCTCGGGTATATGCTATGTTATGTTATGTATGTATGTATGTATGTATGTATGCATGTATGTATGTATGCATGTATGTATGTATGTATGTGTGTATGTACGTATGTTTGTACGTGTGTTTGTTTGTTGTTGTGGTTGTAGAAAGCTAAACGCTTAACATAGGTGTTTATAAACTTAGACACATACATGTGCATGTGCATGTGTATGATCTGAGTGCAACCAAACAGCGACTCGATCAGCTCGGTAACCGAGGCATTGTCATTGACGATCGTGCTCGCGTTGTCCACTGGCGGGTTGCTGCTGTCGATCTGCTTCTCGCCCAGCTCGAGGCTGAGGCAAGACCTTTGTTTTCCACTTGGGTACCCTTTCATGGTCGGCAGTCATAGTACTAGCTTGTTCGGTTATCGACATCGATGTATATATGACATGACCGTACAATAATTGCAGACTGAATACTGCAGATGCATTGCAACTCCAGTAAAGAAAACTCACACAGTCAAGTAAGTGTTGGAAGCCCACAAATTGGATTAGTCCTGAACCCATCAACTTAGATTGAAGCCCGGAGTCGTAATTCAGCTTCTCTTGTGGTTTATGATTGGGGCAGTACTATTATTGGATGCGTACTTGAAAACAAGTTACCAGCCCGTCTTCAGCATCGCCGGATCATCCGGCTGCCGATCCTGTGACCACGGCTCCTCTAGAGCCTCTCCATCAACAGCATCACCATCATCACCGGCCTCAGCGTCACTTGCATTCGGTGCCGCGCTCGGGGTGGCTGGGCGTTTCGTGCTGTGGCGGCGGTTCTTTTTGATCGGTGGGGTTCCAGGGGCCGCATCTTTCTCATCGATGCACTTAATCATCTCATCAAGACCATCATCCAACTGCTTGTCCCCTGCATCGTCTTGGTCTGCTGCTGCCTCGGCTGAAGCCAAATCCTCAATTGCCTTGAGCTTCCTGATCTTCGAGGCTGGTGCGTTGGTTCCCGTGGCTGGCCTTTTGTTTGTAACACCTGAGCTGTCACCTTCTGCTGTTGCTGCTGCTGCTGCTGCTGCTGCTGCTGCTGCTGCTGCTGCTGCTTTCTTCTTCTTCTTCAGCTTCTTGGTAGTCACAGCTGGGGCTGGGGCTTCGGGTTCAGCTGCTGCTTCCGGGTGTTCAGCGTCTTCGGGTGCCTCATCTTCTTGTTCAGGAGCTGTAGGCTCGGGATTCTTCTTCATGTTCTTCTTCCCCTTCTTCCCCATCTCACTTGGGTCTGTGGGCGTCGGCTCCGATGGGGGTGGGGTGCTCTTGCTTTTCTTGCTTGTTGGCTTCTCCTTGCGAGTTGTCGATGGCTCTGCTGGGGCTTCGGCTTCGGTGCTCTTGCTTTTCTTTCCTGCTGGCTTCTTGCAAGCTGTCGATGCCTCTGCTGGGGCTTCGGCTTTGGAGGTGTTGCCTTTTTTGCATGGTGGCTTCTCACAGTCAGGTGTCGATGCCTCCACTGGGGCTTCGGTTGTGGCGCTCTTGCTCTTTTTGCTTGTCGGCTTCTCATTGGGGGTCTGGCTCTTGCGCTTGCTGGCCGGGGTTTCTTCATCCTTTTTGGGATCCTTTGGCGGTGCTGCCTTGGCCTTCGGCTTCTTCGCTGCAGCTGGCAGCTCAAGCTCCTCATGCTCCTCAGGCTCCGCATTCTTTGCTTGCTCATTCTCGTGTTCAAACTGAAGAAAGACTTCAATGGCTTGAGCGTAGCTGAGGTTTTCGGAGGTCATCAACGAACCCAGCGTGATCTCATTGTTGTCGGGTAGCAGGGGTGTCTCCAAGGATATGTTGGTATCCTGAGGGTCTTTCTTGAGCTTCCTCAGGGCATTCCCTCTTGCAAGGGCACCCTTAAGCTTCAGGCTTCGCTCCTTGCTGGATGAAGCACTGGAAACCGAACTTCCAGCCTTGCTGTGGGCCGGTGCCATCGTGACAAAACCACGTGGGCCTTAGGATCCTTGATCAAACCGAGCTCGCATAGATGCAACACAGTGACCATCCATGCTTGATGAGCTGCACAGTGTGTGCTATTGCAATTGCAGAACTAGTGCATGAACATCCCGACCCAGACCTAGGGCAATTTACAAGCGTCACTGTTTCTGGATTGTTGAAGGATTAGAACATGATTCGGCCGATCCATCAATATTTGGCGGCGTCATCTTGTAGCTCAATGACAGTGTAATTTCAGGGCTGAGCATGTAATACCTCAGACCACACAGAACTAGTCTTGAATTATGCTAGAATGCCTCTTCATGAAGCATCCAGCAGCTCAGAGCAGCGAATTTCAGGAATTCACGCGGTTCACGCTTTTTACCCGGCGTTTCACGCCGAATATCTCGCAGGGCACGCTGGTTCACGCTTAGTTTCTTGGCTTATCCGAAAACACAGAAGGACTATACCTGGTATAAAGACCCCAAAACCTGTGTCAAATGGCCTAGAAAAGATATTAAGTGATAAGCTGCCCCAACAGCATGAACAGTACGTACTATGCTTCTGCACAAAGCTTCGCAGCTATCATGGCTAGCCGTTCAGCCAGGAACTGTGGACCACCGTGCTCCTGGATCATGTGCCTTGGTATGTCTATGCCTCACTGCTTTCAATGCTTCTCGTTATCTTCCTCTCTCCTGGTCTCTCTCTCGCTCTCTCTATCTCTTTCTTCTATATGGCTCTTGTCTCTCTGCTACCTACTTTAGTTCCGGCTTCCAACCCTCGTGCTTGGGGTACATTTGCAGGACTTCAAACACCTTTGCCTCTCTCTCTGTCTCTCTCTCTCTCTCTCTCTCTCTCGCTCTCTCTCTCTTACTCTTTCTTCAAGCAATGCTCTGAGCCTGATTTTTGTGAGCATAGACCAGGGAATGATTGGAAGTTAGAACAAGATGGCCCAGAGAACTTGCAAGGTTCAGATGTCGGACTAGAGCCAGACAAAAGGGGAACCAGAGAGACAGAGATAGAGCTAGAGCTAGAGAGAGAGA